GAGCAAATAGGTACCTCGGTCCAACCTTGTCTTTCCTGGCGCTGGACTTTTCACCTGACCGGCTTCGTAACCACGGATCCTTGTAGCTCGGTCAATCCACGCGCTGCCTTAACCGAGCAGCTTCCTTCAAGGCCGGGCCACACAACTTGGCCCAACACTTGTTCGGCCCAAATCTGTCTGGCACAACTCTGTCTGGCCCAAATCTGTCCGGTCCAATTCCATATCGTTAATCTCCCTCTTAATTGCCCCTTAATTCCGTCCGTTGAAGCGTGACTGGGATTACCTATCCTGACCGGGGTAATACTCTTCATCGGTCCTTAGTTTACAAGACATCAACCACGCTATTCCTCTTGCTCGGTTTCTTGGCTTGCTTGGCAAAAGCCTCAACTTGCCTTCCTGGCGAGCAAAATCAGGTCGGCGAGGAACCCCAAAGAAGGTGAGCAAGGTCTGTTCTGCGACTTCCTTCTTGGCGAGCAAGGTCAGCTCGGCAAGGAACTACAAAGAAGGTGAGCAAGGTCCACTATGTGACTTCCTTCTTGGCGAGCAATATCAGCTCGGCAAGGAACTCCAAAGAAGGCGAGCAAGGTCCGCTTCGCGACTTCCTTCTTGGCAATAAACATCGGCTCAGCAAGGAACTCTAAAGAAGGCGAGCAAGGTCCGCTCCGCGACTTCCTTCTTGGCGAGCAAGATCAGCTCGACAAGGAACTCCAAAGAAGGCGAGCAAGGTCCGCTCCGCGACTTCCTTCTTGGCGAGAAACATCAGCTCGGCAAGGAAGTCTAAAGAAGGCGAGCAAGGTCCACTCTGCGACTTCCTTCTTGGCAAGCAAGATCAGCTCGGCAAGGAACTCCAAAGAAGGCGAGCAAGGTCCGCTCCGCGACTTCCTTCTTGGCGAGCAACATCAGCTCGGCAAGGAACTCCAAGGAAGGCGAGCAAGGTCCGCTCCGTGACTTCCTTCTTGGCGAGCAAGATCAGCGCGGCAAGGAACTCCAAAGAAGGCGAGGAAGGTCCGCTCCGTGACTTCCTTCTTGGCGAGCAAGACCAGCTCGACAAGAAACTCCAAAGAAGGCGAGCAAGGTTCGCTCCGCGACTTTCTTCTTGGCGAGCAAGATCAGCTCGGCAAGGAACTCCAAAGAAGGCAAGTAAGGTCCGCTCCGCGACTTCCTTCTTAGCGAGCAATACCAGCTCGGCAAGAAACTCTAAAGAAGGCGAGCAAGGTTCGCTCCGCGACTTCCTTCTTGGCGAGCAACATCAGCTCGGCAAGGAACTCCAAGGAAGGCGAGCAAGGTCCGCTCCGCGACTTCCTTCTTGGCGAGCAAGATCAGCTCGGCAAGGAACTCCAAAGAAGGCGAGCAAGGTCCGCTCCGCGACTTCCTTCTTGGCGAGCAACATCAGCTCGGCAAGGAACTCTGGTCTTTCCACCAAAATGATTGTCAATTGCCCCTTCTCCTCGGCCTTCTGACTGACGACTTCCAAAACCAAACTCCCTAGATCTCTTCCACAGTTGTTCGCACCGCCATCCTCTAAGCTTCCCACCGGGAAAGAGCATCTCGGTTAGAGCCTTGGGTTAAGCAAATCATCAACTCATTTGGCCGGAGTAAATCATCTTGGCTGAATCTTCTGAGTTGGGCAAATCATCAACTCATTTGGTCGGAGTAAATCATCTCGGCTGAAACTTCAGAGTTGAGCAAATCATCAACTCATTTGGTCGGAGTAAATCATCTCGACTAAAATTTCAGAGTTGAGCAAATCATCAACTCATTTGGCCGGAGTAAATCATCTCGGTTGAATCTTCAAAGTTGAGCAAATCATCAACTCATTTGGCCGGAGTACATCATCTCGACTGAATCTTCAGTGTTGAGCAAATCATCAACTCATTTGACCGAAGTAAATCATCTCGGCTGAAACTTCAGAGTTGAGCAAATCATCAACTCATTTGGCCGGAGTAAATCATCTCGGCTGAATCTTCAGAGTTGAGCAAATCATCAACTCATTTGGCCGGAGTACATCATCTCGGCTGAAACTTCAGAGTTGAGCAAATCATCAACTCATTTGGCCGGAGTACATCATCTCGACTGAATCTTCAGAGTTGAGTAAATCATTAACTCATTTGGCCGGAGTACATCATCTCGGCTGAATCAGAAAAGTTCTTCAGCAAAAGTAATTCATTTCTATTACATTGACAAAAAGAGTATCACATCCAGAAGTGTCGGGGAAACAAGTTCTTCCTCAAAAAATTACTTAAGAACAATAAGAATATAATAGTTTGAGGTTAGCCGCATTCCATGGCCGGGGTACGCCTTTGCCATCCAAATCATCTAAGTGGTATGCCCCCTTACCCACCAGACCGGTTATCTTGTAAGGCCTTTTTGTCTGTTGCCACCAGGGTTGTCTTCGCGGTGGACGCCGCTGCATTATCCTCTACTCGGATGTGCTCATTGATGCGCTGCATTAGTTGCCCCATGGATGGCGGCTGGTTCATTGTAAGCGAGTCCCTCAGCCTATATCCGACAGGGAGACCGCGTTTGTATTGGGTGATTGCCAAGTTGACCGGGCAATCCAAGATCTCGTTAAAGGTTTCCCAATATCTGGAGCTGTATACCTTCAGTGTGTCGCTCGGCTCCATCTTGACACTGAGAAGGTGGTCAACTTCCTTTGGCGTTTTGGTGTTGGTTTTGAAGCACGTCACAAAGGCTTCGCCCAACTGCTGCCACCTTTCTATGCTTCCCTCCGGCAGCCTCTCAAACCATTTCAAGCCCGGCACGCCCAAACTTGACGGAAAGATAAGGCACATAAGAGCGTCATTCCGCCTATGTCCGGCCATGACCTGTCGGAAGTGGCTTACATGCGTATAGGGATCGGTTTTTCCGTCGTAGAACGTGAACTTAGGCTGGTGGAAGCCCGCTGGAAGCGGTGTTGTTTTTATCTCCACGGAGAAAGGGGTAGCGCTCAGCCTTGCCAAGTCTGTGTCTAGAAGGAGAGGCGCAGTTAGGCGAGGTGGAGGCAGTCCGACCTCTTCACTAGCGTGAACCCCATAGGATAGCCGCTGGAACGCCGGCATCCTCTGAGCCTCCCGCCGACGAGCCCGTTCCTTCAAGACTACCCACAAATTCTCTGAACGAGCGGAATAAAAATACCTCGACGTCGTTGCCGGACGTGAGGGTTGATAGGTGCTGTCTTGCGTGCTGGACTTCTCTACGTGTGCGTCGGAATCTCCAACCTTGTAACTTCTGGTGATTGAGATGGACGGAGTACGCCGCTGGCTCTGACTGCATGAGCAGCGGGGTTGGGTGTGCTCACTGTGGTCTCCCACTCTAGCTACACCCTTCCTTTTGACATGTCGCTTAGATCTTCCATCTCCGCTGCCATTCTCCGATGACGGCGTCTTGATTCCTTACCTTGTGTTCCAGTCGCCTGGCGTGCGATTCTCTCCGCCGCCGGTAACCTTCTGGACTCCGTGAATGTCCAAAGCTTCTTCCACACTTATCCCACGCGTCTCTTGAATGTCCTCCTAGAGAAGTTTCCAGGTCCTCCATAGGAGGAATGGCGGGATGTCCTTCTCTCCGTCTGCCTGACTCCGGGGTAACTCCGTTAATGGCAGACAACGGAATCTCGTCGTTGTTCGCCATGGATGGCGATCAGATGAGCCTGGAAGACAAGGTTTTGTCTTTCAAAGTTCCCACAGACGGCGCTAATTGTGCGAGAAGCAAATATTCAGGCAAGCCCGCACTCCTTTCTTCTAAACTCCTGTCTGTCCAATCGACCTGCGAGCACAACGGCGGTGAGCTACCCGGCGGTGTGTGGCCGGAAAACCCCTCCGACGATCAAGTTAGAACACACACACAGGGGATAGATAGAAAGAAGGGAGAGTGTTGAGTGTTTAGTGTATGTCTCACCAAATGTTCATCTGTCAGCGTAAGGCGGGCGCAGACGTGCTTATATACCTTCTGCGCCCCAAATCTACTCCCAGTGACCTCTCAACACGTGGCACTGCTATCCCATCTGTCAGCATAAACCTTGCTGAGCACCACCTAACCCAACTGTCTGCCCATTCTCCTGGGAGCTCGGCAGCCGAGCAGTACCATCTCGGTCATCGTCTGCCATGCTGCGCTTCATGTCCAAGTACTCCAACAGCTAAGCTCAGATGAGAACCGGACTCGGCGACATCTCGACAAAGCCGAGCTCGGGACAACTCACGTTTGTCTGCGGTCGACCTACCTGCCAAGCAAACAGGTACCTCGGTCCAACCTTGCATTTCCTGGCACTGGACTTTTCACCTGACCGGCTTCGTAACCACGGATCCTTGCAGCTCGGTAGCCGAGCAGTACCATTTCGGTCATCGTCTGCCATGCTGCGCTTCATGCCCAAGTACTCCAACAGCTAAGCTCAGATGAGGACCGGACTCGGCGACATCTCGACAAAGCCGAGCTCGGGACAACTCACGTTTGTCTGCGGTCGACCTACCTGCCAAGCAAACAGGTACCTCGGTCCAACCTTGCATTTCCTGGCACTGGACTTTTCACCTGACCGGCTTCGTAACCACGGATCCTTGTAGCTCAGTCAATCCACGCGCTGCCTTAACCGAGTAGCTTCCTTCAAGGCCAGGCCACACAACTTGGCCCAACACCTGTTCGGCCCAAATCTGTCTGGCACAACTCTGTCCGGCCCAATTCCATATCGTTAATCTCCCTCTCAATGAGAATAAAGTGACAATAGCCCATAATTAAGGGAGGTAAGGTGTAATTTTTCCATCTACTACAGTTTAAAAAAGAAGGGAGGTCGAACTAAGAAAATTAAGGCTAAGTTTGGCTATCCTAAATAAGTACACACTTTTTATTTTTTTATCTTTTTTCCATCACATCATCTTTCTACTTTTCTGCACATCTTTTCATAAAAAGACAAAAAGTGCACTTATTTAGGTCATCCCAAACAACCCCTAAAACAATAAGGAGAAACAAAATGCAATTCCAACCAAAGTTTGGGGTAGAATTGTAAATTGTCATAATTTCTTAAGACCTAGGGGGCTTCCATCTTTCAGCCTCTTCTCATATATAAGCGAAACAAAACCCTAGAGCCGCTTCTCCAACGCCTCACACACTCGCACAGAGAGAGAGAGAGAGAGAGAGAGCTCTCGAGGTTGAGAAATGGTGACTTACAGGGTAAATTCAGCTTCTCTTCGTCGTCTCTGTTTTCAATCCAGTGAAAATCTCTCTCAGATCTCTTTCGTGAAATGCGTTTTGTATGTGATTTGATTTGGGGTTTTTGAACTGTTCAATTTGTTTCTTTGTTTTCAGATTCATCAGTATCAGGTTGTAGGGAGAGCTCTTCCTACGGAGACCGATCAGCATCCGAAGATCTACCGCATGAAGCTCTGGGCCACCAACGAGGTTCGGGCCAAGTCCAAGTTCTGGTATGTGTATATATATATATATATATGTATGTATGTATGAGGTTTGAGTATATTATTTTCGATTCCAATTGTGTTTTGGTTAAATTTCTAAGGTATTTTCTGAGGAAGCTTAAGAAGGTGAAGAAAAGCAATGGTCAAATGCTCGCTATCAATGAGGTATATATCTATCTCATAGAGTAAATTACTTTCTAGGGTTTTGAATATAATCAATTCATGTTTTGATTAGTGCCTATTAATTAGTTTGTTGGTTCTGGGTAGCAAAAGGAACGACAATTTAAGCAGAGCTTGTGGTCTTAGTGATAGTATATTGTTAACTAGGGCTCCGTATATTCTATGCCACTTAATTGAATCATTTTATGTTTCTAGTTGTGTTTTATTCTATAATGGGGTTTGATTCTTTTGATGTTTTATTTTCACTCTCATTATGTGCTGTTCATGGGAAATACAATTCGATGTTTCTGTGCATTATCTCCAATGGCTTATTCTGACAATTTTCAATAACAAACTTTATGCGCTGCATTTTATTAATGAAGTAACAGTCGTCGTTGCATGTACCCTGTATTACATTATTTGGCACAATGCATTGAATAGACATATTAGTGATCCACTTTTTTCACTATTCATTTGTGTGGTGATCATGAAACCTGTAATCTGACGCAGATGTGCTTATTCAAGCATACATTTACTCGTTAAGACACCAGTTGTGGGAATTTTAGTTATTCCTTCGCTTGTATTAGTCTTGCCTTTTCTAAGCAAATATTATAATTTAGTGCATTGTTAGTTGATATGTATAAACCTTGGAGTCTAATGCATTATGTTTATATCTTCACACGGTATATTATTTACATTTTGTTTTCATTCTTGATGGTCACTGGGAAGTGGAATCAATACTAATGTAGCTGTACAAAAATTATATTTTCTCCTAAATTTCTTTGCTTATTGTTTATGTTTGTTGATGTTTGTCATTATTACTTTCTTTTCTGAGCTATATGTGAAGATATAATTTAAGGAAAATGAATTGCAAACAAAAATTCATACAAAAAGCCTTCTAAGAATGATGTGGCAGTGGCATTTTGGATATTGTAAATCATTTTAATGTGTTTTTTATTTGAAATGAATGGACACACTTATGCCACCTCATTTTGTATAGATTTTGTGTACGAATTTTCTATTTATATATTTGGATGTGATTTTGTGGTTATTTGAGCGTGTTAGCGAGCCAATTTATTCATTGCAGAAAGAGGATGAGACTGAATTACTTGTGCATTGTTGGCATCCATTTGACTATCTTCTGTATTAGTGTAAAGAAAGATTAAAGCAAACAAATAAAATAATCATCTTATCTTGTGAGTTGTTTGATCAGTAAATTTGTGCAGTTATAAATTATTCAATTTACTTTGTATTACTTTTTTTCGAGACCTGAAAAATCTTGATGATAATATAGCTCATTGTGTCTTACATAATCCGAACTACATTTGGGTGTTTTATAACATTGGTTGGGGTAGTTGGATAAATAGTGCTAGAACATGTTATTTCTAAGCAGAATAAATCATCTTTTGTATTTCATTTTTGTATTTTGTCGTCAATTCTACCATTTCTTCATGAGTTTCCATGGTTATGAAGAATTTCTCATGGTATTTAACTTGTCCTGCTTGTAGATTTTTGAGAAGAACCCAACGAAGATCAAGAATTATGGTATCTGGCTGCGGTATCAAAGTCGAACTGGGTATCACAACATGTACAAGGAGTACCGTGATACCACACTGAATGGTGCTGTTGAGCAGATGTACACCGAGATGGCTTCCCGCCACAGGGTCCGTTACCATTGCATCCAGATCATTAAAACTGCCACCATCCCTGCCAAGCTTTGCAAGAGGGAGAGCACAAAGCAGTTCCACAACTCCAAAATCAAGTTCCCATTGGTGTTCAAGAAGGTTAGGCCACCATCTAGGAAGCTGAAGACCACATACAAGGCATCCAGGCCCAACTTGTTTGTGTAACTCTCTCTGATCATTTATTGAAGGAGAACTATAAAGAGGGTTAAGACAATCCAAGTTTTGAAATTTTGTTATTCTAGTGAAGACCTAGTTTTTATTTTGTGCTTCTTGGATATTGTTTGGTTTTGAGAATTTTTCGATATTGGATATTGAAAGATCTTTGTTTAGGGGTTTCCATCCTGTTTACTTTCTGAATTCCTCAGTATTTTGCTATAATGAATGATAATACTGTGAACTTTAGCCCCCCTTTCTTATGTAATCATTTTGTGGTGAGTTTTGGAGAGGCCTCTAGTTAAGCATGTATAATTCTTGGATGTAGTAATATGTTGGGTTGGTCCGGCTGATAAGCTCTTTAACTAAACTTTTATATTTGCTCTGGAAAAACAAGTTCAGAGATGTACACCTGAACTTGTTCTTGAGCACTCAATTGTTTCTTGCAATTTAAGTAGCGTGCGACAAGTGAAGGGACAATTCTGGTTTTATAACTGTGGTCTTCATGAGTCAATGGACTGAGTTAATCATTGGGCTAGAAACGAGTTGAATTGTACAAGTTTGATTTAAAATTTTAAAGAGTTTTAATGTGTTAGATGTTTATTTTGCTTTTGAGTTGATTTTAATCGTGAATTTTAATTGAGTTGAGCTTAAGTAGTATGTTGTAAAAGTACAAGTTTGATTTGTTTATAATATAATGAGACTTTCAAACAAGGTTTTAAGGAGTTTAATATGAATTGAATTTGGTATTGTTTTTCCAAGTTGTGCAAAGAAATCTATTAGAGGATCTTCTACCGTTCACTACTTTTTTCATCAAATTTGAGTTAAAATTTTTTGATTTTTTCAACTTGATATGAGTTGCTCCAACGATGCATCAAAAGGAAAGGGTCATCCGGTGGATTGATCGGTAAGGTTAATTTTGTTTTTTTTTTTAAACCTGTTTGAACCTTTTGACTTGTTTGAACCTACCTATTTGAAAGGGCCGGTCAACCGGCCGGACATCCGGCTGGTTGATCGGCTGATCTCCCCCAACGATAAAGCACAGTAAAATAGTGAAATCTGGAGTATGTTCTCACTTTGATAAATTTTTTGTTCCATTCTCATTTTGATTCTAATTTGCTAAAACCATTGGAGTTTCAAAAAGTAACTTTTTCACCAAATTTCAAATCTGATGCAAGATTTGATGAACCGTTGGATATGACCTTACAAGCCCTCATAAAAGACCGTGCAATTTATAGAAATATTTAGGGTTGGTTTGAGAAGTGGGTTGATTTTTTGGCTTTTTGATTTTTTTGGCTATTTTAGCCTAGGCTAAAAAGCTTGGTTTGGGAAGGACTTTTTTGACTTTTTTTGTGAGAGAATAGTGTAATGATTATGGATTAGATGTGATATTTTATTTGTTGTGACTAAAATAATTTATTTTATCTTTTGTAACTATTTTAGCCACAAATCATCTTGCCAAACCAACTATACCATATCATGTATAGAATATTTATTCAGAAATGGGAGATCATGTGACAATATCTTAATTGGTCTCATCAGTTAATAAAATAATCACAGATAAGATGGAGTATGTTACTTCTTATCTCTCACTAGAGTAATTATTTAGTAGTGTTATAATAAATTTTGTAAATGGGATGTACTAACTCATATTTGTTCGTTATTCGTGAGGTAAAGAATTTAGTTATGTTGTTTCTTTAAGGTGGTGTTTGGTTGGATAATTTGATGAGTGGAATGAAAAAAAAAAGAAAATATATTAAAAAAAAATGAGAAAGAATTGATAGGATTTAAATTTCAAGTTATATTTGGTTGAGTTGAGAAATAAAGAAAGAAAATAGCCTAAAGTGAATCCAAAAAATAAAAAGTGAGATTGTGTTTTGTACTCATTTTCTTTTCTCTTGTGTTTCCATTATAACAAAATAAAAAATGAGATTGCATTTCTTTTTCATTTTTATTTCTCTCTCATATTCTCTAACCAAACAAAACCGAAGAATATCTAATAATATTCTCTCACTAACCCTACTGAGATTTCCCAATTAGTGATATTAGATGATATCACGACTATACCCAATATTTACTCCACTTTATACTCTCCCTCCTTTGTTTTCTATGGTTTCTCTTATCTTATTTTTTAACAAGACTTTATACCCATAAAAAAATAAAAAAAAAATAAAAAAACAGAAACTCTGTATGGTGTCTATATAAACAGCATCGACGTAAATTTTTTTTGAGATCTGGACTAAAATATTAAAATGAAACTTTATTTATTAATGTATAATAAGGGTTGTCAAAAAAAAGGAACTAATAGTGGTTGTCAAAAAACAGTAATTTTCCGTTATTTTATTAGACCATTGAGAATCTTTCAAAAATTTCCTTGAAAACATTAAGGCCTATTTTGAAAAGTGTGTTCACTTCTCAACTTTTAATCTACTTTTTTTTTTCATAAAAAAATTTTAAAAAGTCAAAAAATAACTTTTAACCATCTTCCTAAAACACCCCTAAGTGACAGACTAAATTGCCTAACAGTTGAACCGCCTATTAGGTGATGTGTTGAAAATAATTTTCCAGTAAATTAATTTATTTAATTAAATATCAAAAACGAAATATAATAAATAAACAAAAATCAAGTAAAATAAAATACTTACAGTACGGTAAACCAAAAATAAAATAATTAACAGATGTGTGATTGAGGCCAGCGCTTAGACATTGTGTTTTTAAGACAAAAAATTCACCATCTCCACTGGTGCTTGAGAACTATGGACGTCCCGTCTCCAGGATACAACAATCACCTACACACAGAAGTAGCACTACAATTTGTGTGTACTGCGAACCAAATTTGTGTTAAGTACTCTCAATAAAAATAAAAATAAAATTAAAAAAAATGGAGATGAATGAAGATGAAGACAAAAGACTTAGAGGCAAAATGATTTCTCTTCTTTTTTATCTATTTATGATGGATTGTCCTCTACCATTATATAAACAATGAACCGTAGCATGCACCAAGCAACAGTCGCTTTTGTGACTGTTCGGAAGTGACCGTTAAAGACCAAATTCAAAATTCAAAATTCAAATTTTTTTTCCCAAAAATATAAGTGCCTATCCAACCCACGTCCAGCCCGGTTCGGGCAGGGCGACGGCACGTGTGCTTTTTGGATTGAACCCACTTCGGTCCATTACTTCCCTCCTTACAATGAGTCGATTTCTTTCATTAATGGTTTTAACAATCATAATACATTCTCTTGTTCACCATATAACAAGAAACAAATTGCCACGTTGACCCACCTAAATAATGGGTGGGTCCTACATTATTAATGGTTTAAAACCATTTTTCTCCAACAATCCTCCACATGAATGAAATTGATGAAAAGAACATGCAACAATATGAATTAAGGTGACTCTTAAGTAACAGGCTTCAGTCCCACTTCCCTCGATGATCTCACAACCTACTCTCTAGTCAAACCTTTTGTTAACGGATCCGCAATATTATCTTTTGACCTTATGTATTTAATGGATATAACTCCATTTGAGAGCAGTTGCCTAACGGTATTATGTCTACATTGAATATGTCGAGACTTATCGTTGTACATATTATTCTGTGCCCTAACCATGACTACTTGACTATTACAATAAATACAGATAGCTGATATAGGTTTTGGCCACATTAGAATGTTTTCTAGGAAGTGACGAAACCATTATGTTTCTTTTCCTACTTTATCCAAAGCGATAAACTCATATTCCATTGTGGATCTTACAATGCATGTTTGCTTGGACGATTTCCAAGAAACTGCTGCATCTCCCAAGGTAAAAGACATAGCCACTAGTAAACTTAGAGTCTATAGTGTTAGATATCCAATTTGCGTCACTGTATCCTTCTAATACTGCTGGATATGTATGATAGCTTAGACCATAGCCATATGTATATCTTAGATATCTAAGTACCCTTATTATTGTTGTCTAGTGGTCTTCCCCTAGATTGCTCGTGTTTCTACTCAATTTGCTAACTGCATAGGCAATATCAGGACGTGTATAGTTCATGAGATACATCAAGCTTCCAATTATCCGGGAGTAGTCTAATTGTGATATACATTCCCCTAAGTTCATCATTAAATGAAGATTAGCATCGATAGGAGTCTTAGCAAAACGGTCGTTATGTTTATTAAAATTTTCAAGTATTTTATCAACATAATGACCTTGAGACAAGGCATATCTGACAGATGTTTTTGTGATTTTCATACCAAGTATAACATCTGCTATTCCCATATATTTTATGTCAAACTTAGTGTTCAACATTTTCTTTGTAGTCTTTATTATCTCATTATTGCTGCCAATAATGAACATGTCATCCACATACAAGCAAACAATGACACATCCTTTTTCAGTATTTTTCACATAAACGCATTTATCACACTCATTTATTTTAAAACCATTTGACATCATTATATTATCAAACTTTACATGCCATTGTTTAGGCACTTGTTTTAACCCATATAGAGATTTCACAAGCTTACACACTTTTTTCTCTTGTCCTGGAACAATAAATCCCTCTGGTTGTTCCATATAAATTTCCTCATTCAAATCTCCATTAAAAAACGCAGTATTGACATCCATTTGATGTATTTCCAGATCATGCAAAGCTGTAATAGCAATCAACATTCTAATAAATGTTATTCTTGTTACAAGAGAATAAGTGTCGAAATAGTCTACTCCTTCAGTTTGTCCATAGCCTTTAACTACAAGTCTAGCCTTACATTTATCTATTGAACCATCTGGTTTCATTTTCCTCTTGAATATCCACTTGTAACCGAGCGGTTTATAACCTGGTGTAAGATCCACCAGTTCCCAAGTATGGTTTTGTAAGATAGATTCAATTTCACTATTGATCGCTTCTTTCCATAAAAGAGCTTCTAGAGTAGACATTGCTTCTTTATAAGTTTGAGGCTCATTTTCCAATAAATACGTCAAGAAGTCAGGATCAAAGGATTTAATTTTCCTAGCTCTCTTACTTTGCTTAGGTCCTTCCATGTTTTCCTCTTCTTGATGTTCCCTAACTTGTCCTTGATTATTGTCAAATGCATCATCATAAGACGTTTTAGGAGAATGAGACTCTTGTGTTATTTTACAAGGAATTACATGTTCAAAAAATGATACATTCCTTGACTCAATGATTGTATTAACATGGATCTCAGAATTATCACTTTTATGTACTAAAAATCGATAGGCACTGCTAATTTCTGCATACCCAATAAATATACAATCAATAGTT